ATATTAGAAATTCCTATGACCAGAAGCTGAAATCACTCACTGCTCATGTTTCTTAATGTTCTTCTGAAGCTGTATATGTCAGTGTCATTTGCAATCCATGGGGCCAAATGGATGATTCTTTAGAAGTTTGATACTTTTACTGGTTTGGATTGACATCCAGGAGTTCAGAATCTTTAGATTAGAATCTTTCTTCCCATGTCCTCATTCTCCAAGCAGGGAGGTAGGGTAGCTGTGAAGAGTTGGAAGTAAAGGAAATCAGCAGTAAGTACAGCAGCTCTTAGTGATGAGTTTTAGAAGTGTGGAACTTGGTCAAGATAAAGTTGTTCAGAGCTTATAGTTTGTCACCTGCAAGCCCAGCTGTGACCTGATTTCAGGGATCGTATGAGCTTAGCAAATGTGACAGATAGGGCCGGAGAGTGGCAGAGAGAGGGGATAACTTTGTTATTTTCATGGTAAATTTGAATTCTTGTTATAGGATAAAAATAAGGCATCTCAAAACCAGTAAGTAAAAATGTTAGAATTTAGACTTTGTCATCAAAAGCAAAAAGTAATCATTAAAAGCTTAGTTACAAAGGCAAGTTAACAGTTGAGGAATTCTCCTAAAGCTGTACAAAAAGTCCTTTCTATCCTTCAGGCTTGCTAAGCATTCTAATCTGTATTTGGGGGATTCACGCTGTGTCAGTCTCTTATCTTTAGCTATGTTATAAATAATTACTGCAAACTACTTATTTTAGTAAACACAATTCTGGTGAAACACTGCTGGTTGCAACGTTATGTGATGTTCTTGAGTTTTGGGAAGAAATGCTTGTTTGCTTCAGGTATTAAATACCAATTCACCACAATTAATAGTAAGCAAATTAAGTGTAGCTTGATTTATTGCTCCAAACTTCATGAATGTGTATGAAATATTTGAATTTTTTGGGGAGGACAAGTAGAGATTGAGGGGGGAAAAAATGCCTCACTCATTGCTAACTGAAAGCTTGTATCTGACACTATTTTTCATACTCAGCAATTTTTTTTGTTGTTTGTTTTTAACATTATTTTATTGTATTTTTAAAGATAATTTATTGAATGTTTTCCTAATTAGGGAAATGGATTGAAATTAAATAGTAGAGGATTCAGTTTGTTACTCCATCTTGCAGGCTACCTTCATTACTATTTGTTGCTTGTTGGCTATATTCTGTAAATCTCAGTTGTTTTCCATAAAGGAGGCATGAATACAGGTACTTTCTATCCTATATTTTATTGCTCCAGATCACCTTCTTCCTCACAGAGTTTCTATTTTATGTGCTCTTATTTACAATTCCTGCACATCACTGTAAGATAAATGAGAAATTCCTGAAGACTTTCTATGGTTCAAATTAGTCTGATTTAAAATAACTCCTTTATCAATAATGCTGGTTAACACATAATAGTTTTATCACACACTCCCAGTTCCAATCTGAATATGTTATGATTAGCCACATCATTGATCACTATGATGCACAGAATTTATAGGTGCAAATATTTTAGGATTGCTGCTACTAGATTATCAAAACAAAATTTGGAAGTAAAAAGATAAATTGTTAATCTTGACCTTCTCTGTTGGTTCCATTTTCTTTGTGTGTGTTTTTTTTGTGTGAGTATACACACACATACAGACCAGATTCAAAGTCCTTAAAATAAAGGAAACTAATGACTAGAAAATGTGAGGCAGCTGGTGAGCTCCTTATAAATGAGCTGGATAGTTACAGTGTATGCAAATTTTGAATACAGAAAGATCATGATGGATTTTTCACTTCACATCACAACTCAAAAGTTCCTCTGGTAGAAATGAAATTAAAAGGTAAGTTAAAAATAATGCAACTCCCAGGTTTTGGCTTGAACTGAGTAAAGCAAGTAGGTTCAAAGAGTGGCCCCCACTACTTTTTCACCTCATTATAAGCATTCATTTCACAAAACATTAGAGTGCATACAATTGTGCTCTGCTCTAAGATCTGTTCCAATTGTTCAATACAATAGGATGAGTTAATGGAGTGACAAATTCAGAAGTTCCTTTTTACTGATGATTTAAAACTGCCACATTTCTAACAATTGATATATATTTAATTCTTGCGTAGAAGTTATGGCCCACATCTATCAAAGCTCTTTAGAAGGAAGAATAAGTGACACTGAGTTACATTCTTCTAATGTGGCGAGATGAATTCGAAGCACCAATAGCACTGACTTTTGATAAGATACTTTTGAAAGATACAATCTCACTTATTTAGAAAGCAAAGATGTAGACTTGCAGAAGGTTGTTCAAGAAAAATGTAGCCACATCCCTGTTGTCTTGACTCTGAGCCCAGGATTCCAGCAGGATGCTAACTGTGCTTCTGTGCTTGTAAATTAAATCATGTCATGCATGCCAGTAGCTTAGTTTGTTTTAGGCAGCTGGTCTCTCTATTTGTGGAAGCGTTGTGGAAAAGAAAATCAGATTTCTTTTTTATAGCCTGGTGCACTTTGTCTGTTCTCTGAAGTCAAGGCATTTCTCTCCTACCTCCCTTATTGATAAGGTAAGTTCTGATATTTGGTTAGGCGAAGAAAGGCCTCTTGCTAACGATCATCTTGAATCAGGCCTTATGATAACTAGGCCTGTTAGAGCAGTAGATATTAAAGATTTCTCAAGTTAACTTTGACAGCCACCGAACTTTATCTCCGGTATACACATTTTTGAAAGCACATAACAGAAGATACAGTAGAAAACTAAGATTAATTAGATTCTGCTGAGCCAAATGGCATTTGACACGCATTACACAATATCTGCATATGTTATTATGACTATGAATAAGTAAATGCCATTTCACATTTCCATTTGCAGCATAGTCCATTTTGAAGCACGCTAATTACATAGACATGGCATCTGTGTGTTTTTTCAAAATGTCAAGGGATGCAGATTTTTATTTGCTTGTGTTTTTAATCACTTCTTGCCCGCCCTGTTGGTTACGTGTCCTTGTGATTGAAGGAGTGGTGTTAAGTGAGGCCAGTATGGAAATTCAGTATTGAACAAAACTATCAGTTTGGTTTTCTCTCCCATTATGTTTACATTTGTCTGACAAATCCATCAGTTCACAGTAGACCTTGAATTGAGACCTGCTTCTTTCTTCTTGCAGTATTCTAGCCTATTTTCTCTCTACCTTTTAGTTTGCTGGGGTAAGTCTTGAGGAATAGTCTTGGTAGTATAGCAGTGATTTTAAAGAAGCTAATTTTGTAACGCTTAAAATACTTGAGACACACTGATTTAGAGAAAGAACTAAGACAGATTTTGTATAACAGGAGACTGTAAGGATACTTTCCTGGATGCTGTGCAAAACTATTTCCACAGATGATAAATTTTCATATAATGATAAAATATTTTCCTCTGATTAGGCTGATTATGGCAGATGTTAAACAGCAGGCACTAAATTGTCATTTAAATTGGTGAATCAGGTTAGAGTATATTCTGGTCTCCTAAGATGTTGCCCAATATACTGTATGGGCCATCATTATTGATTTCAGTTGGCCTTAGAATACCAGAAAAGAAGTAAGAGAGCTAATATCATGACAATACTAAGAAAGCTTAGGAGGACAGCATGAAGAGGAACACCAAGAGGAAAAAAGAAAATGGAACTGATAGTATGCAATACATTTGATAGATACGATTAATAACTGAAGAGGGAGTAATTATGTCTCCAAACAAATGTTTGTGGAAAGTAGGTCACATCGAATCAATTTGATCCATTATTTCACAAGGTGATAAAATGTTTGAGTGATAAAACTAACCCCCCACCTGCCCCCCACATTCTCTACCAGCCAAATAAGGTAGTTTGTATTGATTTGGTAAAAGACATGGTGCTGTGCAACCAGGGAAGTCCAGCAGGTTGCATTCTATTTTCAACAAAATAAATAGTCATGTTGGTTACTTTTAGCTTTATATCTGTGAAAGAATGCTAAAATTCTGTATTTGTGGAAGAAAAAAATCCTTCTGAAGCACTGTAGTTGTGGTGTCTTCTGTTCCTTCTTTAATAAACATGCTCCTGAATGTCAGGCTGCATCATTTCAGTAAGTTCATAAAATTCCAATCATCCTTATGCAGCAAGATGCATAAAGTCATATGAGTTTTAAGTAAGTCATCAAATTGTTACTTGGGTTGGTATTTATCTTTTATGTGTGAGCTGCTGCAAAAGCCAGCTTTATTGTTTAGACCTTACCTATCTGTATCATCCATACTGTTCAATAGAGAGCAAAGCTGACTTTTGTGATTGGGTATCAACATATGCTACATAGCTTTGAGCTGTATCTTCTTTTTTGTCACAGCTTCAGGCTATTCTTAGCTCTCTCTGTCTATAATTATCCGCTTTGACCAGATGAAGTTATGAAAAGGTTATGTCAAGGTTTAAGACTGGGCTGGATTCTCAACTGTCTACACACGTTTTTTAACCTGTGTTCATCCCCCATGTAAACCTGTAGGCATTTCACTTTGTAATAAATATAGAGAATTCACCAGATAAGACAGATGAAGAGAGAAGGAAAGATTATCTTTTAAATTACTGTATTTTCCCTGTGGTTTCACAGTCAATAACAGTGGTCAGAACCATCTAAAGTCCAGAAGGGAAGTCAAAGTCAGAGCCTGGAAGGATGGAAACACTGAGCTTTGTGTGTTGACAGGATATAGAACGAAAAACTGATGCAACAGTTTATTATAGCTTGACTTTTAGGCTAAGAATTAATTGTACATACGGTACGATAAATATACCAAACTATGTAAAATATATATATATACATACATATATATATAAACATACGTAATGTATAGTGCATGTAATACATCTATTGAAAAAATAGCATTTCCTTCCATGAGAACACCCTTAATTTTGAAGGCAAAGCAGTCTAATTCCTTCCTGTTTGGAGATATATATATAAAAAATATCTGCATTTAAGCATTCAGAAATTCACTGTGATCAGTCTGAAAAAGAAATTTCCATCTCTACCGGCTGCATAAGTACCCAGTGTGCAGGTGCCCAGGCTGTCTTGTTCTGGAGATGGAAGATACAACTACACATCCGAGGGATTTCAGCTGAAGAGGAAGGTAGCCTTGGAAAGGATCCAGAGGAGGGCAACTAAGATGATGAGGGGGCTGGAGCACCTCCCCTATGAGGACAGGCTGAGGGAGTTGGACTTGTTCAGCCTGGAGAAGAGAAGGCTGCGGGGTGACCTCATTGCAGCCTATCAATACCTGAAGGGAACCTACACCCAGGAGGGGAGTAAACTCTTCAAAAGGGCTGATAACAGCAGGACTAGGGGAAATGGATCCAAGTTGAAGGAGGGAAGATTTAGGTTGGATGTTAGGGAGAACTTATTTACAAGGAGAGTGGTTAGGCCCTGGAACGGGCTGCCCAGGGAGGTTGTGGATGCCCCGTCCTTGGCCGTGTTCAAGGCCAGGTTGGACGGGGTCCTGGGCAACCTGATCTGAATGTGTATGTTTGGTGGCCCTGCTAGGCAGGGGGATTGGAACTACATGATCCTTGAGGTCCCTTCCAACCCGGGTGATTCTGTGATTCTGTAGCAAACATGCTTGACTGTCTGTTCACATGGTCTCCATACTGAATTTCATGTGAACTAGCAGATTAATGAGAGCAATCTCACAACTTCTGACCGGATATTTTAACTTAGGGATACACATCATCCATTTTCCTCTTGAAAGACTGAGTTCAGCCTCTTTCCATTTTCTTTGGAAATAGAAGAGTTTGAGCCCTGGACAAAATATTTGTCAGACATCCTGGCCTTTGTGCATTGAGATATATCAACCTATGATGAGGATACAAAATACCAGGTTCCAAATAAGAGTTCAGATTGAGATGGACAGATTTAAGCATCTGAATGCAGAGCAGAATTACAATTTGAATTAAATCTCTCACATTTTTATAATTTTGTTTAAATTTAATATAGAGTTAGAACATCAGTTTTATTTAAAGACTTTAGAAATAAATCTGATGTTGGTTTAACTTTTAACATCTGGAAACAGATCATGACAAAGGTCATGACTTCAGTTTTGTAACTCAAACATGAAACACCTTTTTCACTTCTCACTCCTCTACCACCCTGGAAACTTGGAGTACTGTTCTTTACAACAATTGCTGCTAGCAATATGCACAACGTTAGAAGCTAATGAATGTTTTCTAATGGTGCTTGCATCACATGTTGAATTCATCTGATTTTACTATAGAATCAGGTTGTTGTCTGAGAGATGTTCTGTTTTGGGAATCATTGTATTGCTGTTTGTGGAAACTTGATTCTCCAGTTTCTTGCATTTATTCTGAAACTTTGGTTTGTTATTAATTAGTAAGAAAACAAACTAACGAACAAACTGACTATTGGGAGAAACATCTGGGAAAATTATATACCTTGTTCAAGTTCTGATATAACTACTGTGCCTTCATCACCTAAATGTCAGCTACCTAAATGCTACTATTAAGAATTTGTTGAGGAATGTGCTGTTTCAGCAAGTGCTGATGTGTGTTGATAGATAGATACCTGTAAGACTGTAGAAACCTTGTCAGCTTCTCACCTCATTCCATCTCATAGCTGACTCATATTTCTGTTCCTCATAGAATGTCCTGTGCTCCTTTTTTCCAACTAATTGCATGTGGTTAACTGAAAATCAGATAGTACAAATATAAAAACACAGATTGTAGTAGACAGCAGCTCTTGGGGTGCTGATTAGCGCTTAAGCAGTAATAGCACTAATAACATTTCCTGGATGTTGCTGACATGTTACGTTTCCTCATAGCAAGATGTTTCAGACAAGGGAATTAGCAGCAATATTGGAATAAAGGGTTGCCTGGTAATTAATGTAAATAGCGTGGTTAATGACTCTGCTAAACCAAAGTGGCATGTGATTGTAATGGAAATGCTACACCGGTTGGAAAACAAGATATTAATTTAGAACATAAGGACAAGAAGAAATAATGTTTGGGGACTGAGTAAAGGGCATTCGGCTTCTCAAGGCTCATTTCCTTTTTCTGTAGTACTCCATTAACCACAAGATGCTATCATGATTTTTAATGACCCCAATGTTTTTGCCTCAACAGCTTTGTCTGGTTGAAAATTCCAGACACCTGTGATGGCGGTTCACATGATTGATAGCAAATTTCTTTCTGCCTGCTTGGATTTCATTCTTTAATTCCACATAAGAAATTCATTGAGAATCATAATTATACAGGAAAACTTAATTCCTTTCTGTCCTCTTCAGTAGCAAGTATCTGAAACTGAGACACATTTACACTCATGCTTTACATGTAATGGCATTATATAATTACATTTTACTGAGTAATACTTTAAATCAATTTTCAAAGACAACATCCATAATTTTAAGGAAATTATTAGTGCTGAGGTTCCTAGTTTTATTGATGAGATGTTTTAGTATGAAGGTAATTAAATCTCCTATGACAATTTAAACCATCTTACAAATACAATTTTCCCAAGAGAGTCCAGTAGGACTAAGATATGAATTGTAGTTGTGTCATAAAGAAGACTTTCCTCTTGTTGTTACGTATTTAATACTTCTTGTCTGCTTTCTAAGCTGTAATGCACAGTATTTTTGTATGCTGGAAAACAACTGCCTTAATTTATGCAGATAGTGAAAAAGACATCCATAGAAGTCCTGATTTTGTACCATTGTAATTCAAAGATGAATTTATTTGTATTTACATGTTTATGTTGCAATCTTGTCCATAAATGCCAATCAGGTGTCATAAAAATCCTGTCAAGGAAAACATCTCTATGCTCTTGCAGAAGACTGTTCATCCTGTTTATGAGTTGTCTGGAAAAAATCCACCACTTGGGCATAATGACTGAAATATATCAATTTCTGAACATTTAGTCATAGCTAGTTACCAGAAATTTCAAAGCTGGCCTTAATAAATGCATATAGTACCTTCACACATCACTTGTTGCAAGCAAGTTTTAGGCTTCCCCTTACAGAAACAGGGCTTTAATTGACAATCCCTGGTACAAACCTTGTGCACATCCTTGCTTTACTTAGGTATACAATAATTTTAAAATGTAATTAAATAAATTTTTAGACGTGAGACTGTAGAAATTAATTACATTTTGTCAGGAAACTTAGAATATTTCACTGTTTAGTGGATGATTCTGCTCGTATTTATAGAAGTAATGATCCTTACAAAACATCTGCTGATGAAAGTTTATCCTGTGCTCAAGAAGAAAAGGGAGAAAGAAGAAAGGTGTGGAAGGAAAATTCACCTTTGTCAACCTGAAAATACATAGCAGAAGGTGATTTTTGTTCCTCCAGAAGTCTAGAAACTATGGTTTTTGTTTTACTGAGGGGTAGAAACATGTTTAGAAACAGCAAGGAATGGCTGAAAAATTGAGTTGTTCTTCCCTGCACATAGCTACAGAAAATCACAAATTTATTTTGAGACTTGTGAAAATATATAAAATTCCTTTGTTTCTACTGCATGTTGACGTGCACATAACAACAGAGTCCCCTGGACAAAAATCCAGCATATGTACAACTGTAAGGTTAAGGCTTACTCATTAGAACAACTCTTATGGTTTTTGGGCTCGTACACATCCTACCATGATCTAAATAGGATGCTGTAATCAGAAGATGCAGAGATAAAAAAGGGCCATATATAAACAACAAACAAACAAAAAATTTTCCTTTTCCCAAACAAGCTGTATTTTGTGAAATAAACTGAATCTGTGCTACAGAAAAGCACGCGACAGATTCACGTAACAGATTGCTTTAGCACTAGATGAAGATCAGAAAATGATGAACCCTACTTATTATTATGCCCTGTACACATTATACGAACCATTTGGATATTGACCTGAGGGGTTATGTCTCATAAAAAGCAAAGGATTATCAGGCATACTGAAAAACACTGATAATGGAAATTGCTTTTTTTATTAATCCATGCTTAAATTTTCTGTTTGTAATTCTTGTGACCTAAATAATTGTTCTGAGGGAGCCCTGAGTGCTTTATAAACTGTGTGCACAATCTTTGTTTACTCTCTTCTTTTGGAAAGGCTGTACCACCTATTACTAACACACCATTAAAAACTGTATATCAAGTGTAGAATAAATTGTCTACAGTTAAGCTGCTGGTGTTTTTAAACTGCTGTCATCAACAGACTTCACATGGTCTTATCTGTGGCATAGTTCTGCTGTTGGCAGCTGTGGGTGCTTAATAATGAGTCTTTGAGGGCAATTGGAGCAACTGCTGGTCAAAAGACTAGATTGAAGCACTGCATGATAAAATAGAAAATGTAAAATTAACAAGGTACATTTCCTTTCTAACAGTTTTTCTAAAAAAAAAACACCACAAGACACAGCCCAAATTCATTGAAGTCAGTTGAAACCTTTTTGTTGGTTGCAGTTAATTTTGGACAAGACTGAGCAAAGCTGTGAACGTTGTTATTACACCTGGCTAGTACTTAGGACCCTTTTATATTGTCAGGAGAATGACTGAGAAAATGCTGGGCAACTGCTATTTCAGAATTAACCCTTCTAATGTTTTTACTGAGGTCTTGGATGCTCGTATTTCCTTGTCTCTTATGATTACTTTGAATATTTTAGAAATTATTGCAAAGTGAAATTATGATAGTGATTATCTGCCAGGGAAAGTTAAGTTTATTCATTTTTCTTTTTTTTTTTTTTTTTAATGTTCTGAGTGTGTAAAAATTGAGGTGTGTGAAGGTGAAGTGCAGGTGGGTTCCTTTGTATGGGTGAAAGAGAAAGATGTGTAATATTGCTGTAAATATCAACTCTGAGCAGGTAGAAATGAGTATTGTTTGTCTCAGAAAATTCAAAAACTGAACTTGAGTGTCCAGCAGAGTTGGGATCTTCTGTAAATTACACACCAAAAGCAGTAGAAATAGTTTCTGGGACTTGGCAAACGTGCAGTCCTTGGAAGAGTTTTGATGTGCTTGTTAGAAGTATGTTTCAGTCCCACCTGTGGTTTCTGCTGGCTCTGGTATTCTTCACTGCCTGCTTTAAACAGTTATGGAGGATTTCTGTGCGTGCTGCTAAACAGGGGCCATCTATCATTTCGGAGGTGGTGACGTTA